TATTGTAGAAAGCGAAACCGCTCGTCTAGATAGTTAAATTAAATTGATAGTAAGTCTTATTTATTATTTCTTTTAAAAGAAATGTTTCTTTCCACTAGCTAACAACGAACGGATTCCAGTGTGCCAAAAGTTTTTTTGATAAAAACGCTGTGTATATCCCCAAATGAAAGAATAGACAAAGACAAAGCAAATAAAGACAAGACATTTATGTCTGTAACATTGGATTTACAAGCAATTTTACAAATACCCAATGGATCTATTAGTCAATTATAATATCGTAGAAAATTGGTAGTATACAATCTTACTATTTGGGAATCACCGCTACCCAATAACGCATATTGCTTGTGCTGGAATGAAATCAATGACAAAAAGGGTAGTTCTGAAATCGGAACTTGTATGTATTACTATTTAAGTGAATGCTTAAGACCTGAGGTTAAGCATGTAACAAATTTTTCAGATACTTGTGACGGACAAAACCGTAATCAATTTATAGCCGTACTGCTGTTGTGGATCGTACAAAATATCGATCAATTGGAAATTATAGAACAAAAGTTCTTAAAAGCAGGACATACTTATATGAAAGTGGATTCTATGCACTCGGCAATAGAATCTGCAAGTAAAAATGTAAATATAACTTGCATGAATGACTGGAAAAATATATTTCAAACAGCAAGAAAACAGAAAATGAAGAAAGTAGACAATGTGAAACATAATGTAGGCCCATACAAAGTAAAAGAAATAAAATATAATGAATTTTTAAATTTAAAGTAACTTGCAGCATATATATTGCAAAACAGAACAGTAGATTCTAATGGTAATCTGTGCAGTGGTTAAAAATCAAGAGAATAAAATATATTAAAGGTGAAAGAAAAAATTTTTTTTAACTACGATCTCTGAGAAGAATTAAAGTGTTTAAACATATCAGAAGATATTGGTTTGAATTAAAAAAAACTCCTACTCTACGGTCTAAAAACACAAAAACAAATTTTATCCCAAAAAGCAACCCCAGACTTACCAACTTCGGGTAATTTAACAAGTTATACAAAAGTACTCTTCCAATAAGCGAAGCAAAAAAAAAGGATTTAATGAGGATGTGCCAAGAAAACATTTTTCCGGAAGAGCTGCATGCTTGGATATCAAGTTTAAAAACAGGGAATAATGTCGTAGATCGAATTCCAGACATAATAATGGGAGAAGAATCGGCAGAAGAAGATATTACTTTCTAATTTCTTAAAAAGAATGTAGATTATTATTTGTTTTATTTAAATAAAATACAGTTCATTTTTATTTGATAATTGACAAAATTAAAAATAAAAACCAATAAAATCAAATGTTGTACTCATACAGCGAGGAAAAACCCGATAAATATCATGTTTTATTTTTTTTTTTGTAAATATCTTTTAAAAGTAAAACTAAAAATAAATTATTCTAACTAAACATTAAATTCTCTACTGTTTGGCTTTAACAAATATTTGAAACAACTTCCTATGACGATTTTAAATCCTCTTCAATGTTACGAAAATCTTTAATCGCGATTATCTCTAAACAATGATTTTGTTAGTTATCGGGTTTTCGCTGAAACCCCTCGAAATTATGTATTTTTATATCTTCCTCTTTTTTTTGTGTCAGAGTCGTTGTCCGACCTAATTGGAATGATTAGGTATAGATTCAAAAAGTTTTTTAATGTCATTATCAAGATCCCACAATATTTTTTCCTATTGTTTTTATCTTCTTCTTTAAGTACCGTCTCCCAATCGGAGGTTTGGATATTATTACTATCTTTAAACTTAACTTTAACTTAAATTATTTAACCATGACACTCTACTTCTTCCTATACTCCTTCCTTCTCTTATCTTTTCCTGTATTATCAGCCGTAGCAGTACACATACCCTCTCCTGTCCCATCATTACGTGTCGTAGATATTGTAACTCTCTTATTTTTATTGTGTTAAGCTTAATTTATTAGCAGATAAATTATATCATAAACACCATTAAGATGACTATTTTGAGAACGATTTCTTTAGTGGAAATTGAAACGCCAAAAAACGTATTTTAACCTTTAATTGTGATTTGTTTACATTTAAATAGTAATTATTCTCTATATATTTCATAGTCGAGGTTTATCAGCGATGTGTCAAAAATTTTTATAATATGTAACTATATTACCGTATAAATATTAATATTGAATGAAGACATGGAGTATCAAAGAAATCTGCATTGTTGGCAAAATGCCACCCCCGGACAAACTGAATACTAATATCGGGCCAAATTTCCCAGCGCAATAAACAAAATCCCGTCTTGTATTATCTCTGCTCAACGTGTTCCGTAATTTAAATAGAAAATGCAGCAATATAAAAGCTACAAATAATGGACTTATTTTTGAATCTAAAAGTTTGGAGCGGCAAATTTAATATTTTTGCCAATAATTTCATTTTCTCGCATATGCCGGTAATATTAAACTTGTTATTGCAAGAATTCCGAACGTTTAAATATAACGACGAACGACATATGTGTTGGCCATTAAAGATTATCGCCTGTTACGGGGTTGGGGGTGGTTGGTGATGTAAAATTGTAAAAGTAGGTAAATTTTAAAGAATATTACTTCCATCTCCAGGCAAGATTGTATAAATCGTACCATCAATTTTACTTTGTATTTTAAAAAACTTGAGTTTATAATTTCAAAGAAAAATTATAATGACAGCTTATTTGTTATTGATAGAAAGTTATGTATTTTACTTATGTATTCAAAACGCTCTCTTAACATTTCCCTTAACATTTACATGGTTAAATACAATAGAAATAAGTGTATACTAGAAACTATATTAAATAAACATCCTACAAGTTTATGCTCCAACTGCTTACAAAACAGAGAGCGATATTGAAACTTTCTACGAAGACCTAGAAAACATTTTAAAATCCATTAAAACGCAAGATGTAACAATTATAATGGAAGACTTTAACGCAAAGATTGGGGAATAAATAGTACAAGAATGTACAGGAAGATATAGTCTGGGCAACAGAAACGAAGGAAGTGACAGGCGTATCGAATTTATCGATACCACAGATGTGTTCTGGGAAAGGCCAGATGCAAGAAGGTCTGTAGGGCGGCCTAGAAAAAGGTGGAAAGATGCAGTCAGAGAAGATCTAGAGAAGAAAGGAGTGCGACAATGGGAATTACTGGCACAGGACCGACAAGCATGGAAGGCAATAGTAAACGCGGCAAAGACTCACGAATAGTTGTAGCGCCATTGATGATGATGATGATGATTTCTCTGGTCCTGAATATTTCCTTTTGAGTTTGCAATTTCCATCTATAATATATTCTCCAATAGTTTGTTGTTCCATCTTATTTTTGGGCTTCTATTTGGCCGGTTTACTTAAATCCCTAATTAGTCCATCTTCTTTTCTTCATTTGTATATGTCAAAACCATCTCAGTCTTTGTGCTAATAAATTCATAAATTTTACTGTCTTTTCTTTTGATTATATTTATGTAGTAAATCAGAATAAAACAAAATGACATAAACTAAATTAAATTAAATATTTATACATTTTATAAATCTTCTTTAGGAATACCCAAAATCCAAAATATTGGCAATAAATTTACCCAATATGAAAAATGCGTTTGATGTGCGTAAGTTTGGGTAAGTCTAGTTATTATTAACTATTTATTTTCGAATATAATAATCCAGGATCATGATTTTATATCAATTTTGTTTCCCTTTTGTAAAATTAAAACGGGAAAAGATGTCTTTCTGTGTAAGACAGTGCTGTATATCAATTCGTTCACCCACCGAAAGTGGTTGATAAATGATTTCATTCAAGTTTACTGCGAAAAAGTCGGATGCAATATAAAACCCTCTTCCCTTTTTGTTCAAACGATGCCTACTATTTGTATCTTTTACACAATGAAATATTGCAAGAACGGGAAAATACTTTTTCTTGACGTCTGTTCAAGATGTTCTATAAAATTTTAACAGCTGTAGAAATTGTTTTTTAGGAAAGGAATAGTAAAAAAATAATTTTTTGTTTAAAAAAAGCGTTTAGTACACACACAACCAAAGTACACACAACCAAATTTATATGGAATCATTAAGTATTTCGTTACCCTTAGTGCAAAATGTTGTATGTAAAATTAGTGTACTTTACAGGAGATAGAAAAAACGTATTTACATTTAAATGCATTTTTTTTAAACATGGGAATAAAAAATATTTATCTTTTTAGTCTTTACTTTTAAAATGTTTTTGATAACACAGCAAAAATTATGTGATATACCTATTTTTTTATACATACGACACTTTGCATACCTCTACATACGACTTTTTTTCAGGTAGGCATACAGCTTTTTGCACTCCAATTTCAAAGAAATAAAGTAACATATGACATTTTTAAAAAATTTATTTACACAATTTCTACGCAGTTTTGTAACAAAACAGTAAGTAAAACTTTTTCCTAGTTGTACACTTTTTTAGGTAAGCTTTTAATTCTTGTAAGTCTTTGTACTTCTATCTTGAATTGGTAGAGATTTAGAGTACAGAGGATTAAGTGTTAGGAAAACTTTATGAATTGGCTTTGGTCTCTTAGGTAGCTCTAACCAGTGATCTGAAAAGTTTAATTTGTATCAAATATGGCCATCTTTTAATACTTATGGCACCTTAACGCAGTGACATAAGGGTCTCATTTTTTAAACCAGGCCTATATACTCTTGTAATATCCATTTGAAAAACAAAGAAAATCCTTAAAAGATAAGCTTTCTACACAGTAAGGGCTTGGATAGGTTCTTGCTCCACGTATTGATCTCACGTAGTCTGCCGAAACGTAATGCTCTTTGTTCTTAAGCTTTTCTTATCTTGCTATGCATGGAGTCTATCTTTATTTGTGTGTGGCCCACTTCCAAATATTTTTTGATATACAGTCACTCCTGTTTGGCAATTGAAATAGAGTAGAGCATTTAAAACAGTCTTACACCTGCTTTGGTAAGTGCAACCATCACTCCAAATAATTATTTCATTGATACTTGGTTATTTTTCAACTCTTCTTTCAAAAACCTCACAATCATTGAAGCAAATACATCACTTTTTACACCTCTATTACCTTCGTGCCAAACATAGCATGTGCCTTGATGTGGTGCCAAGTTATAAATAGTCCAATTGTGAACTTTAAGTTTTGTTTTATAATAGGCTGTAGATGTCTTTAAATTTGGACAAGTGAGAACTTTTTGCACATCAACAGCATAAACTTGCACTTCACTTAAGTTTTTAGCCCTTTTTTTTATCTCTTTCTTCTTCATTTCCGGATTCAACTTTCCTGTTTTGGCGATCATCGTATTCTTAGTTTGTTTATTTTTCCCAGTTTGTATTTTAGGCAAGTCTCACACTGATCTTTTTTAGGAAGAAAAAACCTGATATTTTTATTTTCAAAAACTGCATGAAAAAGAGCTTTGATGATGGTTGAAGTTGCTGCTTTTGGCAGACACGCTCATATTCTCTGTAAAGTTGACACTTGCTTTTCCACGTTGGTTCTTAATACACTTTGCTTGTTTTAGCACGGCAGTAGTGCGATTCCATTTTTGGCAAAAAGTCTAAAAATGTTTGTTTACCACTAAAATCTAATAGATAACATAAAAACTCATTGTGCCCAAGACTGAGATGTAGTGCATAAAAGTCCTTCCCCCTTTTTAAATTTAATGTTTGTTTTCGTCTCTTCTAAGTGTTTTCTGTTTTAGTGAGTTTAAATTGTCCTTAATTGTTTTAACTTTAATATTTTATATACTCGACTTTGCAATAATCTACCAACTTGCCAATATAACTTTATCAAAGAAATTTGATAATTACAAGTTGAAATAATTGCACACCCACACAATTTGTACATTCTAAGCTTATTCATTGTCATAAAACTGTCACCTTCATAAAACAAATACTTAATAAATAACACACATTTCATAAATATATCTCTCGAATAAGTATAAATAACTTTTAAATAATACAATGAGATATAACATCACTTTCATTTAACAAACAATCACACACACTATCTCTACTTCATTGCATCAAATCTATCTCCTCAAGAACTTCCCGTTTACTGTCAAACAACTACAATAGCAGCCTTAAGTTATCCATTCAACAATACATGATAGTTTCAACCATGTTTTACCATCCATCAATTAATAGAGTACCGGCATCATTTATTTAACTTTGTATCGAGACCTGAAGATGCTTTGCATATTGTAGAAAGCGAAACCGGTCGTCTGAATAGTTAAATTAAATTGATTGTAAGTCTTATTTATATTTCTTTACCTATTTGAAATGGACTCACACAAGCAACACATTCATGATTTATAATTTAATTTTTATAAACTCTTTAAAAATTGTTTTACCCTGGGCTATACACATTATATATTATGAAATACTCAACACCGCTTGACTAAATTCATCTCCACTGTATGCCCCTACTGAAACATTAATCTACCTGGACTGTATAAATAAATGGATTGGACGATTTTAACAAATATATGACTGTCATTGATTTAAAACTTTCTGATGGAAAAAGCTGATATAATTCTATTGTTTACTTCAGCTTCACAAAGCTTTTGACATTTATATTTGTATTATGGGTTTTAGTAATATAGTAATATGTTATATATTAGTTGATTGATAACGAAATAAACAATATATCTAATATTTTATTTAAATATTGGAATAGAAAATAATGAAAATAAATTGTAATTTTATAATGATTTTTATCCAGTATGTTGTTATTTTATCTTTTTTAAACATCCCAATATTTGACAACATAAATTATGGTTTCTGGACTTTTATTTTGTATTAAGTTTGTATTGTTTACACTTACTTTCTTTTCGTATTCTCTTTAGTAAAATAAATAAATGGATAAAGACTTTATTTATTTGTCTGTGTACAATTGGTCAGACAAATAAAAAAAATCAAATAAATATACACAAAATAAACAAACCAGTATCAAAAAGAGTAGCATTTTAAATTGGAGAAATTCTTCAACTGAATACACAACGTGTACACTCAAAAAATTGGTACAGTAACTGTAAAGTAGCGTGAAGCTTTGTTTATTTTTTCTGAATATTTAAAATTTATTTATTTATTTCTTGTTTCATTTTAAATTTTGGTAAAATTTAAACTAACATGTGGTATAACTACGGCTGAAATTAAATGAGGCTAAACCAAACAACACAACTGGTCAATATAATAAAGAAGCGCAAGCTGGAATACTTCGGTCACAATATGAGACACACTGAAAAATATGATCTTTTATATCTGATCAATCAGGAAAAGATCCAAGGTAATCGTGGTCCTGGTAGAAGAAGAACATCATGGTTAAAAAATCTAAGGCAATGGTATGGAAAATCAACTACATCGTTATTTAGAGCTGCTGTCAATAAAGTCACGATAGCGAATATGGTAGACAACATGATATCCAACGATCGATAAAGGTCATCGAACTAGAAGAAGAAGATGTGGTATAACGACTAAACTCGTGATATTAATGGACTAAAGATCCTTCATCAAGAGATCATCAAACTGGGACTTCTCTAAATAAATCATCTCCCATATTATCTATACGTTCCTGAAAGTATACTTAGAATGCCATAAAAATAAAAGAATTGTCACAGAAGCCTTAAATCGTAAATTCTGAGATGAAGCACTTACCTGTTAAGGTAACGTGTGGGGAATATGAATTAAAGCTAAAACACCACAAAGACAAAGGTGATGATAGTCAGTAAAACGGCGATACAACCAGAAGTGGTAAGAGCTTATGGAGAAAAACTAGAAAGAATTTATCTTGATTATAATCTAAATGAGAACTAGGACAGAATCACAGAAAAGAAAATACTTATCGAAAAGACCAGTGCTGAATTTTTTTTAAATAAAGAAAATTTTATGTGGAAACAACATCACTTTGAGAATTAAAATTAGATTAGTGAGATGTTCGTATTCTCTGTTCTTTTATATAGCCAGAACTTTGGACATTTCGGCTTTGTTATGCATCACCTAGATAGAGATGTATAATATACTGCATTATACATCACCCATCATGGTTTAGAAACCTGAGGAAATGGTTTAACAGATTCTTTGCATCCCTTTTGGGCAGTAATTAACAAATTAGTGCAGCCAATTTGATCGCCAACGCACGGTAATCAAGCATGGCATAGGAAGAAGAAGAAGGATGGTCAATTTTATGTAAAGTTTGTTCTCCTCTTTATTAAACAATATTATTAAACTATATTCTCATAGTGTAGCATTCATTGTTAAATCAATATTTACCGGAACACTCCAAATATTGGATATTTACATCAAACACACGCCCTTTGTATATTTGTATATACAGAATATTTATAACGGTGCTATCATTTAAATACCTAATACAAACGAGAGAGTATTCAAAAAGTGTGTCCATTGAAAACAGTTTTTAGTACGATAATAGAACAAAATATCATTTTAAAAGGAGATATGATACAGCCTTTACAAAAAAATAAAAAATTGTTTATTGTACAGCAAATGCAAGTTTGAAAAGATAAAATTTCAAGCGATGTATTAATATTGAAGAGAGTAGTCAAAAAATATTTTGTGCCTGCTATTAAAAAAATAAAACAAATTGATGGATTCGACCGTTACTTGATGGAAATTCATTTTATGTAACAATAAAACACTGAAAACTTTGTTTTCAAACTTCCACAAAATTTATTTTAACTCTTATCACTACAGCTGTTTCGGCTGATTGCCTTTCTCAAGTGATCTACTTGAGAAAGGCAATCAGCCGAAACAGCTGTAGTGATAATATTTAAAATAAATTTTGTGGAAGTTTTAAAACAAAGTTTTCAGTGTTTTATTATTATATAAAACAAATTGTTGATAAAGTACACCCCAGAGGTACTTTTCAGTGCGTTATTAATTATGACGTCATAGAATGAATTAGGTGTGTCGAGAATTATTTCATATAAATATTGAAGAATCTGACAGATGCCAGGCTTGTACTTAGCCACAGGGGGTAATCCCGTATATTAATAAAAATAAAAAGTAAACAATATTGTTTATTCAATTTATAAATATGGAAAAATTTGAAATTGACGACAAAAATGATTTATTTATTGAATTTTTGTATCTTCTTCTCAAGGGGCTGTCTGCGCGTCGAAAAGTTGGCAATCATCACAGCGATTTTTAATTTTAAGACAGCGGCTCTAAATAAGTCGTTATTACATGAGTTACGTATACATGAGTATACATGTGAATTGAATTCGTATTTGATGTTGATTGATTGTAATATTGGATGTCTGCACACGACAAAGCAAATTAACACATTTATTTTTTTTTAGATTTTTTATTTATTAAATAAACATGAACAATGTGCCTCGTGCTATGATTGACCAGCATTTTATATTTAGAATAACCTGCTATTTTACTGTTCTGGATATTCCCAATGGTTCAGCTTGGAATCCAATACTTATTGTTGTATACTTCACTGTAGTAGCTGGGTTTACTGTCCTAATGTAAACTAATATTTATACATTTATCATTATCACTATCACACAAGTTCGAAGGGTTTAATGCCCTTGAGCCTGCTAACTTGGTTTTGATTAGCTAGCAGTTTTAAGCATAGAGCATTGACTATGTTTCTTAGTATTTAGTTTTTGACTGACCGTTTTTATTAACATAGGATATGTTATAAAATATCTTGATGATGATATGATATCAAAAAGAAACGTCAAAAGTTTATCATGATATTGTTTATAACTGCGTTGCAAATGTCAATCACCTTTGATTGCTGTTGCATACAGGAACCTCTGTTTGTAAGTAAACTTTTGTTTCCTTTAAAAGAAGTGCTTGCCGAGTCTTTTCACCCTTTTTTTAAATTTAATTTAAACTTATAGTTACCTAGATTTATATATATTGTTATAGTTTTAGAGTGAATAAAATCTAATAAAAAATTAAATTCGCCGACCGATAAAGTTGTTTCACTAATCTAGTAAAAAGTAGGCAGATACAAGATATTACATAGATATTTGTACGATAATATATGATAACAAAAAAGGGTTTATTATAACCAATTAATGTTAATAGCCAAAAGATAGCAATTTTAGAATATAAGATTTAAGTCTTTTGTTTACAAAGAAAAAACCATTTCTTCGAAATCTGGTCTGATCTAATCCATCCAATATATTTTAAAATATTCTCTTATTTGGTTGCTTACTATCTGACTATCCTTTATGATAGATTCTTCTTCTTTCTTCTTCTCGTAGCACTACAATCCGGGGTGGGTTTTGGCTGACTGCACAACTTGTTTCCATCTTGAACA